AGGGTATTTTTTTGTTGTTGGATTTATTTTTTTTTTTTTACTTCAGAGATGTACTTAGGAAAGTGCCCCAGGCTATATCAGGCTTCCACTGCTTAGGTTTTTGTGGGAAACTCAGGAATGAGTGAAACGACTACTTAGAATTGAAGTGATTTAAAGAAAAAACCCTGACCCTGAGGCCAAAGGGACAAGTAAACATGGTCTGGTTTTGATGAAAATCAGGGAATATAACACAGCAGGGCTCTCTGAAATGAAAATATTCTGTCTTCCCTGCTGCAGACATCCTTTTATGAGTGGTTCAAAATGAGCCGTTTCAGCCAAGCTCAGGACAAAATTAGCCTGAAAAGAATGTCAAGTATTTCCAGGAGTCAGCTTTTGCTTAGCATCTTTCTCATGGCGCATAAACAGAAAATGAGTCAGATAATGAGCAATAAAGACAAAATGTGAAGTCCAAGTGTATAAACAATCATATACCACAGTATGATATTTTATCTGTTTCACCGTACTTTGAGGCAGGCTGCTTCCATTTTTTCTGACAGCGGAACTGGTAATGTACAAGTCAATCAGAATTTCCTTGAAGCAGGTGCAGTGTTTAATGCTGATCAATGGCCACATGATTCTCCCCTTAAAAGGAAAATCTATTTTTTATAAAAATGCAACCTTCCTGCACCCTCAGGTTTGCAGTACTGAATTAATTTACAAAATTCAGAAAATAAGTTCCATGAAGATGAATTATCCTCATCTGTCTGCTGTATCATTTTTTTCCACTTCCTTTGTAGAGCTACATGCTAAAAAAAAAAAAAAAAAAAGATAAAGGACCAGAGGAACTATAAATTTCATCTGATTTTTAACTTCTTTAACCCTGCCACAAAGCAATGTGTGCAGGAATGAGAGGTGAGACAAAAAATATACACAGTGTACCTGTTTACAGAGTGTTGAAGGAGCTCCATGTAGCCTCCTTTCTGGAATCTGGTCTGAACTGGGGCAAAATCTCATTCCAGTTCATATTCCCTCATGCTGACTTAAAGCTACCTTTGGCCCTCCACTCAGCCTAGAACAGTCTGGAGAGCAAAGCCCTAGTTCTTGGTTCTTATGCTCTGGACTAGCAAGACATTGTTTTGAAATTCTGTTTTATTTCCACATGCCTTGATAACCGTGGCCCAGGCTGGCTCAAAGCTTGTAAGCAGTCTGAGTACAAAACCTGAATTTTATTCCAAGTCTATCATGCACCAGCATCCCATTGGTCCTGTGAATCCCCTTCCAGTGCCAGTGAGGCAGAAATGGGGCATCTCTCGAGGAAACCCCTGTGGCTGCTGAGTCCAGGAGTCTCCTTCTCTGTGGATGACTGGCTGATGCTGCTGAAACCATCACCTACAGCCCTGTACAGTTTTCTGTCTGAAGCTGGGGCTGTGGTCTGTGAGGTGTGTGGCACTGACAGTTGTGTCTGCCTCGTGCCTCATTGAGTCTGACAAGGCTCCACTGCACTGAGAATCTGCTCATGTGTGACTCAGAGCAGCACGGGGACCCATATTTAGCATCCTCATATGAGTTGACAGTTATAATACATGTGAGGAAAATACATCTATGCCAGGCTATTAACTATTTTGGCTCAACTGTTAAACCATGTGACCATTTCTTTTCTATTCGCTCTGTGTCTGGTGTCAGGTCCTAAATGCTTATTTACCAATAATTGCCTTCTAAATTACCTACAGTGAGTTCCTTCCTCACTTTCCACATCAGTAAAAACTGAAAACATTTAACAAGCCACTTTCCCTTGGATATTAGGCAATGATTGGTATTTGTGCAGTCCTTCGAAATTATAGTTTTGCTCTTAGACTGATAGATGGAAACACTGGATCTTGCTTTTTGTTTAATCTCTTCTTTCAGTTCAAGCAGAATGTAGAGCATTGATATTCTGATGCTATGGAACTAAAAAAGTGTGTATTTGTCTCCTAGCATTTTCAAATCCAAGTAGATTCCACAAAATAACATCATTTTCTCACTAAATTGTTCAACTGACCTTTTAAAAATTATATCTTAGCTATTTAAATGCTTTATGACTGAGCTAAGTGGAATATCTCGCTTTTGGGAGAGGAAGAGTTGTGCTGTTTGCAGATCAAGATAGTATTCACTCTTGACGTCAGTAACTGCTATCATCTTGTTTTACAAGAGAGATTGTTGCATATAGCCTGGTATGCAGGTTCATAACACAAAATAAGAATGATACGATTTGTCACCACTGGAGCTGATTTTTTTTCCCTCACAAAAAAACCCCTAGGAATAATAAGAGACTCCCCAGTGGTGCTACAGTGAACGTTTCACTTGAACTTTTTTGCCACTGTGGTTATCTTAAAAGTACTCCACTATTTCCAAATAAAGAAACTTAAACCCAGAACTTTCAAAACTTCTCTCTCTCGAGCACAAAAAAAAAAAAGGAACTGACTTTTTTTTTTTTTTTTAATCATGTGTCAGCTGTTACCATGTTGTGGTTTCACACACATTTGAGTGGCACATGCACTGCAATAATTGCACGCTCCCCTTTAACCAAATAGTTTGCTCCCAAACATTCCAGCTGAGTAGATTTTTCATGTTTTTAATTCTCCATTGCATGTTTCATTGCAGCACCTTCTTGCACAATAATACCCATAAAAATTGTTTGGAAGGAAATGGCCTCTAGCACTAAGGAGTTAAACAGTCTAGATTGTAAAATTTCACCTTTATGTTTTCAGCAGCAGTTCCCACTAGGTAACATAACATTACTGAAAAAATAGACAGGTTTGTGTTTCAGAAGTTTAAAAATTGTTTGGATGAGAAAACTCCCTCTGCTGGTTTGAAGTAGCAGTAGATATATTTCATTTAAAAACAAACAAACTGTGGGAAAGTATTCATTCAGCACACACAGTATTTTTCCCCTCACTGCATACACAGTGGAGAGCGAATCTGTTTATTCCACAGAATGAGGCACAACTCTTTAAAAATGAATGTTTTTTTAAAAA